TCAAATGCATTCCGGCACTTGCCCAAGGCGTTTATGGTTTTTTTAAGTATTAATCAATGTTCTCGGAATCGGTATGAATCTGGCGGCGTGCGCATCTCAGATGATTTATAAACTATAATTTATGCAACTGGTAACATTACATTTCGTCTATTCTACTCCGACACACGACGTCAATGCGCGTGATATGTCAGACACNCGACGTCAACGCGCGTGATATGTCAGACACGAGCGGACGGGCGGTGGTGTTTTGGGGGCGGCAGCAGGTTACTTCATCCCTATGGTGCAGTCGGCGAGAAAAGAGGGAGGAGTTGGACTGCAACGGTCCGCCGTCGGTGGCGGCACAGGAAGGAAGGGATGAGGATTCTGAGAGTGTAGCCCTCAGTGCGCCGCCGGATAGCCCAGGCTTAGCATGTTGATCCCGTTGGATTAGTCAAACGGCTACCCAGTACCAAGTTAGTGTTTAGTCCTTTTCCACTATCTACCACCCCTCCGCTGTCTCCTACGGTTTGTACACTTTCGCCGGTCGCTGTTCGTTTTACAAAATACGGGTGTCTTACGTCACATTTGATATCAGAAAATTAATTATTCCTAAATAAGTGCAAAGTCATTATCAGTTGAAGACTTACATTCTATAGGTACGTCAGTTTGATTAACTAATTTCAAGTTTTTTAATTTTTTAATTTTGTATAACTCAATTTAATTGTGTAATTTTAAATAAACATTGACTTGATTAAATTTACTATTTGTAATTGTATAAGATTCTTACAACTTATTTTTAACTAAAAATGCCAGTACAAATTAAGTTATGATCTATCTAGTCGCTCATACAGAAAAATAATAATCAACCGAGAAAATGTTTTATACGTGGGAGCATTGTAAATTAAAAGGAGTGTAATTCAATTTTAATCATTTTTTAAGGAAATTCATTTGGAAATTATTAATCTTACAAGTACTAATATAAAAAGACTTTGCAAATGGTTTTACAGTATAATTTTATTTCTACCATTAATACCAAAGTGTTAAATTTGCAATAATGATTTTTAGATCAAACTTATTTTAACCAATAATTGAAATACATAATTTTTGCTTTAACCTCCGCATATTTTTACGACCATTTTAAATTTTAAAACGATCTATTGACAAATCAATTAATTAGATTTTAAATTATTGATAAATTTATAAAGGCTTTTTGAAATATTGCTTGACAACATTTTTTTTTTTTTTTTTATTATAAGTTTTAATAAGTAACGAGATAATTATTTAAAATATTAACTTTATTGAAAGTAAATAAATTAAAACACAATGATACAGTGATCAATATAATTCTTTCGTTTGTCTATAAATTTATTTTAAACAAAAAAGTATTTTTATTTTATAGTTTTTTTTGGTTCATACTACAATATGGTGTATAAAATATCTACAAAACTAAATAAACCCGAGTTCGAACAATAAATTTATATAACTATTTTTAGTTACAGTGTATCGAAAATAAATACTTAATTGATTTAGTTGTGATCCATTGAGTATACTACGCTATAAATCCAACTAGATTATATCAGTTTTGTCATTATTATAGTTATAAATGTTCTGTAAAAAAGAAAATCAAAAATAGGCAAATAAAATAAATATAAAGCTCACTGTGATTATAATAATATGAAATAAGTTTGCCTTTTTATTGTTTATCTTAAAACATTATTAATTTAAATCGTTTTTATTACATACTTTTATTATTAATAATAGGACCTTACATCATTGATAACTTAACTGAATACTTTTATTTTTCATATTTAATGAGTGAGAAATGATGAAATTTTTTAAATACGACCACTAACCTACACAATAGTTATTTAAATAGATTATTGTAAATTTCAATAAAATTTTATTTTTAAAAATATCATTCAGCATTTTTTTATGCATATACTTTTTACTTCAAAATGACGGAAAAATAATAATGACATTATTGTTATTAAGAAATGTTTTCATAAAGGTTTTAATTGAATAAAATTAAAATATGACAAAAAAATTTCTCAATGTTTTATACTTTTATAAAAAATAATCATCATCGAAACGCAACTTATCAGAATGTTTTATGTACATAAATTGATTTAAAATTAAAATTTACCTTTATATTAGATCGATTTTATATCTTTTAAATTGTTAGAAGTATTGAGATTTAATATTGTGTTGAATAGAACGAGACCAAGAGACGTCTTTAATAAATGGTTTGGGAAAGTGGTATGACACCACAAATATTTTATATTTTACCATAATTAATTTATGTGAGACTATGCTATAGTTTCATATATGAACTATGACATATATGACTATGCTATATTACTATTATTTATTTAATAATAATAATTAGTTTTTATATCGCTTAGGAATATTATGACGACGAGATCGTTGTTGAAATATTAGTCTTATAATAATATATAAGTCTTTTAAAATAAGTGTAGGATTTATTAGTGTTTTCTTTCGAGTTTTAAAGCCAACCTAATACCAGAGGATCATAGTTGATCTCAAATAAATGTTGGCTTGATCTAAAACGATTTTTAGCTCTTTAAATAATTGTGTTTTTAAATATACTTTTTATGAATTATAAAGAATGTTTTATTACAACTTTGACTTATACATTTTTTACTAATCATTCCAAAATATCTATTTTATAAATAAAGAGAAATCTTAAACGAAGTTTAATAAAAGAACATCGAAAGAAGTCATTATAACTCATTAATTAATGTAAAATTCTTGCAAGATAATAAATGGACGGAATTTTTTTGAAGAACGCCTTTAGTTCTAAATAATTTCTTTTTCAAACAAATCTTGATATTTTGATTAAATTTGGAATCTTAAGGACGTCATAGAATTAAAAAAATATTAACATTATGAAGCCCTTTAAATATCAAATATAAAATTTTATGTCATAGACGGGCACACCTTACAAATGTACAATTTCATTTGTTATTACATTTATAATTTTGATGAATAGAACAAAATAATTTTCGTTCTGTGTGCAGAAAAGACTAGAAATTTGAGGTAAATTATGAAATTAACATGATTTTATAAATCTAAAGTCTTATCAAAGACATTGAATGTGTTATCATACAATTTTTATTTGTAACGATTCGTCCACAAGAGTGACAAATCTTACAGTTGACAGTGAACCCAGAAAATGGATATTTACCTTATATTTAGGTTTTCTGTGGCTATGAGGTTGACAATTTTACATTAATGATAAAAAAATGACAAGTGATATACAATATAATGAAACAAGAAGTCTAACTACTAGATATATCGGATGTGTTTTTTTTTCATTTCTCACTCTATTACTATGGGGAAGTACCGGAGAAGAGTTTTGGAATATCAGAATTGGTAACACGATTACTATAAGTTCCAAATTAATGTCTAGGAAATAGGATTCCAACGGGTAGTAAGTTTTAAGCCAAATGCTCAAGGTCGGCTAGTTTTGGGATAGACTTAAAGTTCTTTCATTTTGCTTCCAGTTTACTCTTATTAGAGAGATATTGAGAATATTTTAATACACCGAATAGCATCCCATTTTACTTTTTTAATGATGGGTATTAAGACAACTCTCTGGAACTTTCGAGGAAAGCCCAATGCTATTAGGACATTAGAGCCAATATTATTTCAAATTATTTTCTGTTCTAGTTGTTCTCTAATCAAACTTTGATTATAGATTCATCAAGTGTAATTATAATCAGATTGGTGACAAATTTCGCTAAGATAAATTTGATATTAGAAAACTATTAATTTTTTTGATTATATACTTAAAAATATGTACAATAAAAATAAAGAATATAAATTGTATAAAATAGTTGGTCTTTAATTACATTTAAACTATATATATAAGAGTACCTGCTATTTTACTACGTGTCTATATAAATTAATATTAAAATTAGTGTTACACGGTGGGACACCTTATATAAGTAATTATAATATGATATATTAATTGCTTATAATAATTTTATACTAATGTTGTCGCTTAATAGAAATGTGTTTTTTATTAAATCATATAAACGCGTTAATAATTAATAATTGAAATGAATGATTATTTAAACAGCAAAAAATGTACATTATGTTTATTTTACGACCATACACAAAATAATATCATTATATTTCATTATTTTATCAGTATATGGATATTTTATGAACTACAAATACTTTGATTGTAGTTAAATATTATTAATGATTCGAATATGATATTACATATATTTAATATATTACATATTTTACGCACATTATATACATTTGTATTTCAATATTAATAAGACAATATTTCAAAGATTTAAAAGAAATATTTAAAATTTTGCCTAATTAAGATGATAATTTTTATCACAACTAACATGTATAGGTAACTTGTTAGTTACCGTTAAGTTGCTCTCTATCCTATTCCCTACGCACAAGGACCGCATTGTTCCATGACACAATACATCAATTAAAACGTACTTAATCAGGCAAATTTATATTTTCTTATGTTTCAAACTATTCTGTTATAAAAATGATAAATTAACACTTCTCGAAACAGAAAGCATATGTGTTTGCATGAGTTTCTTTTTGTTTGGAGTTCATTTTTAAAAACGCACTCTCCAGTTTTATATTGAAACTGAATGATCTAAAATTATGTGTTATAATAGTTTGAAGTATGAAAAATCGTGTGCAGACAGGGTGAGTTACGAGCTGAAAAAGTGAGTGAAACAAATGAACCCGGTTGGGTATACTACGTGTGTATTTGTGTACGGGAGACTTCACATAGTGTGTATGTAAAGGTGGAAAGTGAGGAGGAGTTCCCCAAAGGGTATCGAGAGAAGTTGGTAAAAATAAAACGAATAACGAGTCGGGCAAAGCGGAAGACAGTCGACAGTAGCGCCCAAATGAAGGAACGCAGGCGCCGCCCGCAGCGGGCTGACCGTGTAAGGGAAATCCCGCCCATAACCGGAGACGGTATGGACGCCGGTACCGTCAATCGGCTGCCGCATATCTCAAAGCCGGGGGCTCAAACCGCGGATAGTCGACCTAATCTGAGGTCAATTTGTTAACTTAACTTAAAAACTCGGCGACCGGCTCTTGTGCCGTAATAGTCTCCAGTGCGTGCGTATAATAATAAATAAATTACACAAAGCGGATCTCGTTAAGTGACAAAAATATACGAATTTCGGTTAATAAATTATTGAGAATAGTAAAATTTTAATGATCAACTGGCTGCCCTGGCTAGTGCAATATAATAAAACAAACGTCATTTATCTTTAATTGGGGCCAAGCTTCGTGTGCGATCCGTCCGCAGTACGCGACTAGTTCGGCTCGAGTGCGACCGGGACGGGCCGTGGCGTTTAATGATCCACCGAAATCCTACATAAGCCCACCGTTGAGTTTTGGGGATTTTTCTGTATACATAGTGCTAATATAAATTATCTGTTTAAATATATTTGTTTTTCGATCTGCCCGTCGTTCCGCTTTGTTTCACTCTATGGTCATTTATTTGCTTTGTTTTTGATTATAATGAATAACGACAACAGAGAACAACAGTGAACGAATCACCAAAACAGGGTCTTAGTAGGACCTGTTTCGTTACCGTTTTAGAAACTTTTAAGGTATAGTTTTAATTTTACATCCAATTTTTGATATAAAAGGATCACTTGAACATAGACAATTTTCCAGCCTTTTAACATTAGAAAAAGAAAGTTTTACTATTTACTTTTACAAATTAATTTGAAATAAATAATATAAATTTTTTTATTCGATCGTGTTTTTTTTTTAACAAATAAAATGTCATAATTTTATGCATAAAGATAATTAAACAGCTTGAAAATTCGAAAACTTATTAAGAAAAAAAATCATAATCAAAATGAAAATTATATAAACAAAACTATAATAAAATAATAGTCAAATTTTTACTAAGACAACCTAAATAACAATAATGAACCAACTGGATACAAGTTTTTTTTGGGCTTCTTGTTTTAAAATTAACATTAATATTTGAATTTAAATTGTACAAAAGTTATTGATTCATACATTTCTTTCATTCAGTATAAGTTAATAAAAAATTAAGGCATTATAACTAGTTTAAAAAGTAAAATATAATGTTTTTGTAAACAACTTTTTTACAATAGACTATGACAGAATTATTTTTTTTGCTTTTATAGGTCAATATTCTTAAATTAACTTTGTCGATTCAAAAAATTATAAGCCATAGTCAATATTCATCGTGTCCAATACGTTGAAAAAATGACCAAAATAGACTTAATACTTGTCTTTTTTTAATTGTATAATAATAATACAGATTATTTTTTTTAATTAATTAATGAAAACAGGAATCTTTTTTTTTAATCAAAACAATTGTTGTTAACATACATTTAAATATATATATATATATATTTTAAAATTCAATTAAATCTACATACATTTTTTTATAAATTTCAGTAAAATTTACTATTTTACGGTAATTACAGGGTCAAAATCAAAATAGTTGTCAAATAATTTTTTTTGGAATGAATAAATTGTTTGAAATTTAAACATTTATTATCAAAATATCGTAATTTCTGTAATTTTTAATTTCCGAATTATTATTAGTATATTTTGATAGTATATAGATAAATAGAAAATTGTATTTTTATAAAATTAGACAAGCATGAGTACTTTTCAATAAATTTTCAATTTTTAAACTGACAACTTTAATTTTTACATCTTGCCGAAAAATTGATGTAGTAAAATTATTTAAATGCTTAATGCCAAAATATAATAATTTCACTAATTAATAAAAGGCGTGCCTTATCATGTGATAAGTCATAAACGTATTCGGTCCATTCCACTTTATGGTTTTTGATTTCTACAAAAATAGAATAATTATTATTGTCATAAGCTATTCATTATTTTCAATAATAATTTAATTGGTCTTGATTTAAAAAATATTATTTTTTTATTTAAATCCAACAATGTAAAATGAAATGAAAATAATATTACATATTTTATAAAAAAAAATACTCTTTATTAAAATATTTATTTATATTATCATCAACGTATAATACAAAAATAATTAAATGTAGAGTCTTAGATTATAAAATATTTAACTCACAATATTTGTTATAGTGATCTTAAATAGTTAACTCATTCTCTTACGAAAGACACTTCAAAGTATTTTTTTGCGTTTGATTTTTGATTAATTTTGAACAGCAATAAAATATATATATATACCCTTGAGTTATTAAGAACATTTTAAAGAGAATAAGTTACATTAACTTATTGAAAATAATCTATAAATGTTAATTATATGTATTTTTATAAACGCCTAATTTCATTAAATAATTGTTAGAACTCTTCAGATTATTCAATTGTGTAACTGCGGTCATGTATTTATTGATATGTACACACTTCATAGATAAAATGGTATTTGCTAACAACGTAAATTGAAATAGATTTCCTATGTTATCATTATCATTTGATTATACTATGACAGCACAAGGTAATGTAATTTTATGTGAGACATGCAGATTTTTTCAAATGAAATATTCTACTCTTTAAAAGTTTTTGAACAATATTGCACTGAGCTACTGAACCCTTGTTAATTATTGATGACATGTAACACGGCCGCCGGGGATTGACGGCCGGTTATAGAAAGTGTACCGGAAATCATGTGAAAAAAAGAGGCACGGTACGGGATTAGAACCCGCGACCCAAGGCGTCGTATAGACAAACCTTACCACTAGGCCACCGTGCACTTATGATTCAGATCCCGATACACTTTCATTTAGGTTGATAACGTGATGTGCGGCTGAGGGAAACACGGTACCGTGTCAANAATAAAATATATATATATATATATACCCTTGAGTTATTAAGAATATTTTAAAGAGAATAAGTTACATTAACTTATTGAAAATAATCTATAAATGTTAATTATATGTATTTTTATAAATGCCTAATTTCGTTAAATAATTGTTAAAACTCTTCAGATTATTTAATTGTGTAACTGCGGTCATGTATTTATTGATATGTACATACTTCATAGATAAAATGGTATTTGCTAACAACGTAAATTGAAATAGGTTTCCTATGTTATCATTATTATTTGATTATACTATGACAGCACAAAGTAATGTAATTTTATGTGAGACTTGCAGATTTTTTCAAATGAAATATTCTACTCTTTAAAAGTTTTTGAACAATATTGCACTTAGCTACTTAACTCTTGTTAATTATTGATGACATGTAACAAATCTTCCGAAGTTAATCATGAAATTCGAACATTTTGATAAAAGTGTAGATTATGATATAATTGATGATAACAGTTTTCAAAACTCCGAGNATGTAACAAATCTGTCGAAGTTAATCATGAAATTCGAACATTTTGATAAAAGTGTAGATTATGATATAATTGATGATAACAGTTTTCAAAACTCCGAGAGAATATTGCCTAGTCGTAATTCGCATTATTTATTTATGCTTAAATTACTAATGTACAACAAGACAATTATATTACAATAAATACTCTCAGTTTCATAAAAATATGATAACGTTACTTTCTCGAATAATTAATTGATTTGATTTTATCTTTAGATTCTCATTCAAACTATAATTGGGTTTTGAACACCGAGTGATGATCGTGTAGATCTAAGACGGCGGCAATAATGATGGAGAGATTAGAAAACCTGACTGACCCAAGCCTGTGCTTGCAGGATTTGGTGTCGTCCACAGGTACTGATCACCATAATGTCGGTCTGCAACATGCATCTCCGGCGTCTTTTCACCATCCAGTCCACGACGGAAGTGCTGGCTTACACCAAGGTATGCTGAGCCATCACCATGTTCATCACCACGATGGACACCATCACCACCACCACGCAGCAGTACCATGTCCACCTACGCTGCTACATCACGAACCACTGGAAAAACTAAAAAGAGGTTAGACATTTACTAATTAATATAAAATATAATCAATTACCTTTAATCACAAAGTTAAATATGTTTTATAAAACTAACATGCAAATGGGTACTTTTAACTAAAATACAGTACACGTCCATAATCCTGTTGCTTTCCAAATCTACTAAAATATTTGAAAGTTTTAATAAACACTTTCGACGCGTTTCGAAATAAGAGAATGAGAATATACTTTTCTGATGTTATTTATGAAAAATTTCAATCGTGTTCGAAAAAAATTGCAGTGATAGACAACTATAAAAAAAAAGCTATCATGACTATTACTTATCTCGAGAAATAAATGTCAAATAACCTTTCATCATTATTAAATTTTTCATTTATTAAATATTTTATAGAATTTGAGGAAAGAAATTGACATATTGAAAGTTCTATAAATTTATTAAAATAATTTTACTCAAAACTTCAAATTTCGGAAAAATTCTTCTTTAAATATGAAGAAAATTGATAAAAGTTATTTTTCTACGAGAACATTACATCCCTTTATGACAAGTTTCTACCTTTAAATATAAATAATGAGAAAGCGATTTACATTTTTTATTATAGTTAAAGACAAAAAAGCTAATAATTTAATAGAAGCCAACCCTTAGGAAAAAAATTGTTTTACATTTTTTTTTTAATTTAATTAAATAGAAAAATAAAATTATAGTTAATACATTAATAACTTATTTTTCAATTTTATTTTGTTTAGCCATCATAATTTTTAGTTGAAAAATTGAAAAACTGATAAAATAAAATTGTCAAAAAAAATGTAGTTATTTAATATATTTATATGATTAGAACAATTTATGTGATATTATAATCTAGAGGTTTAATAGACATTCTCTAGACTTTCTTAATAAAATTAATTTGCTTCCTATCTCTCAAGTAAATTTTAATAGATGTAAATAAATATATTTAATTATTGATCGATTTAAGTTACTGTGTTAAAATATTGAAGGAAATAGTTTCATGTAAAATAAATCTATCCATCACTTTTTTTTTAGCAATAGCTTGAGATTTTTTAAATCGCATATACATTATTCGCTTTTTCTTTCTATAATTCAACTCTAAAAAATCAAATAAATTATTTATAATAATTTATACTATGTAAAAACAGAGAGCTAACACAGTCATAAAAATATGATCAAAGTGAGTTGGAATTCTTATGGAATATTTTTTTTGATAAAATTCGGATTAAGAACTGAATGGGCTCCGAGGTAGTACTTCAAAAAGGTCTTCCTAATGAAAAATATCGCTACCATAAAAAAAGTGACGAACAAAATAAAAAAAACTAGAAAAGCTCCGTCACTGGGTCATGACTAGGTTAGTAAAATTCGAGATGGGTTCCGGGGCGTTCGCCCTCCTTTTCCACCCCTTAAATACGGGCATGATAAAAATACTATAAACGTTAATAATTATGATACTATAGTATTATAATCATGTTGTTTATTTAGTAACTAAATACATGTTAATTATTTACTTCACACCGTGGAAATATATTCGTTGTTTACTATTCAATATAATTGTAACAACCATTCAGATTGCAAGAATAGTATAACTTATGAATTTACACAATTATTTATTTAAAAACTTGGTAAACGGTAATAAATTGATCTTAAGCTAAATGTGCTAAATTAGTATAATTTAGTATGGTGTTTTTGTAGATCTCGAAAAACACACATTTTATTGTTTACCAAATATTTATGACCGACAATTACGTGTCGATATATTTGTAAAAACTCGGCGGACACAATAGTCTTCGTATAACACTGTTAGTGAGCTATGTGACGGTGATGGAGTTTAATGGTTAATAATTTAGTTCGTTATTGTTACTCGGGGCAAGTCCATTAGCATAATCATTGTTTGTGAAACGGCGAAAACGCGTGGGGGGGTGTCGGGTTGGGGTCGGAGGGCGGCAACAACAAGTGCGAATTCCCATGTAATATAATACGAGCTCGTCAGCATTCATGATCGGCGCCCCGTGAAATCAGCGCGAGAGACCCTAAAAATAAAACGCTGAGGGTGCGGACGGTAAAAATTATGTGCGCGCGTACAATACTGTTATTATGCATTCTGTTATTTTGCGCCTTTTACTACATTATTTTATGTTATTTTTGCAAGCAACGTGCGGACACTTCGATGAAATTATGTGCTTCCGTCGCAACATTAACCTGTGCGACCCCAACGCTCACAGTTGTCGTTGACAATGTGTTTGCTTTTGATAACTACAAATTTTGTAACGTTGTTTACAATTTACTGTTGAATTTGTTTTTTACTTTGCCGTCTAAAGGGTCTACAGAGTAAACGCGTTAAAGCTTAAGCAACATCATAAGTATTTTTTGTACTCACTAATTGGTCGTTTTGCCGGTAATTAAAATTTGTTTGACGATCGACGGGACGCCGGTTTTCTAGATTGTGGTCGTTACACAGTTTAGAAGAGACTAAACAGTTTTGTTTCTCTATACCTGCCTGTTTTATACATTGAGTCGGTTTACACTAAAATTTCCTGTTTTTCCATTCAAACACACCCATTTCCGGTGTTATAATGTTTGTTTTTATTCCGATTATGTTTTCATAGTTTTTTTTTTCAAAACTGTATACCGTTAAAGCATAAAATTGTTGGTGTTACTTTCAAAAGGGTTTATTTAAAAGTGTATATTAAATAATGTTGAATTGAAGATGATTGCTGATGTCCTAAGATAACATGCCTCGTCGAATTGCATGATCGCGAGGGCATAAAATAAAAGAGGGATGGTTTCCTATTAATTTTTATTTACTTATCAGCTATATATTAATATTTCATCTTTCTTTAAACACGTGCGAATTTTTTTTGAAAATGGGATGTAAAACTTAATTTGCCTTATATACCCGACAGAGTGTATTCAAATTTTATTATAACATACAAAAATAACTAATTAATGTTTCCAGTGGACTTAATTTATTTCTCAATTTTATTGCCCAACAATGAAATTATATTAACTTAATAAATTAGTCCAGATCACATAAATATTACAGCAAATTACATTATTTATCTATAAAAGCATTTACTAATTGTTAACGTTATTATTTTGACTTTATGAACCACCGTAAAATTCGCGATAATTCGGGTACGCTGTTAAGTGCTTTTACTAATGTTTATTTTATTCATCGAACGACAAACGTACAAAAAAGAAACGTGGAAAGTATATGAGAGTCGATATATATATATCCTTTACACGTGTTAACTAAACCTTGTGGCTTAGCGGATGTACCGAGTAAAAAAATACAATTACATAACTCATACAGTCTCTCCCTCGTGATGACTTTGTTTTGTCTGACGTTTCGGATGAAATATTCTTCAAGTTATAAAATAATACAAAAAAAAAAAAATAGATACAACGCACTTGGAGTGTTTTATTTTGTGGTTTTACTATCTATAGCTATATAAACATAAATTAATAACCTACTCGAAGGGGGTTAAGGTCACCGTTTGCAAAATAATTTCTTTTTTCCCGTCGAAATCCCTCGGAAAGCATTATATTTACGAGGAGAGGAGGCGAAGTTGGAATTCCCCGCCACTACTCCCATGTCGTGCACTAAACGAACAGTCACATATTATACACTGTCCTGGCGGGCTGGCACAGAGTATCCCCAGGGGTTTGTGGGACGCTTATGTTTGGTACGACGTGCACAGTAATTTTGAAAAACAAATTACCCCTTTTCCCGAATAATAGCTGTGCGGTCAACCTTATAATTATTCCCTTAAGATACAACCCTTTTGAGCGAGGAGCATCCAATAATTTATGTAAGCAGCAAGTGTCTACTTGTATATTTGCATTTCCACCCTTTAAATACATGTGCGGACCCGCAGTGTATACAAAATCGCATATGGACCGAATTCAGGCGGTGATAGTGTCCGTGTGCAGTCAACGCGAGGTCTGCCCGTGTTAAAACCGCCTATTGTTACCGATTTCGCGGTACACTCGTGCCGTTTTTTATTCAACATTACACATATGAGGCGTGAAATAGGTTTTCGAGACACAGTACATGTCGTAATTGTTATAATTTTTTTTTTTTGTTCCACGGGACAAAGGTTTGTAGCGAATGGGTTCATCATTCCTATTATTAAATTTATTGACTTGTTTTATATACTCGAGTTGTGTAAAATATGAGTCAGATAACAAAAATAATTTATTCCGACGTCGAGTCTAGTGAACATATTGATCTAGAGCGAACGATATCTTTTGAAGGAACTGGAAAAAGATAAACACGGCGAGACTCGAGTAGTTGATTGTGTGCAATAAATCAAACAAATGGCAAATAATTTATTCTAACGTAGCACTACAGAGTGGTACTGCAGCTATATAAACTTACACGTTACAAGAAAACGAATACTGAAAAATAATATGACTATAACTACTTAAAAAAACAATTGGTCGTGTAATGAAAAAGTTTTGTTTCGATATTTTTATGGGAAAAATTGAAGCAATAATATTTCAATAACGACAAAAATATAAATTATTTGGATAGCCGACAAAGAATAAAATCAATGCGCACAGTGCTGCGATACAACACTCATATTTTTAAATACTCGAAAGTTGTGCTTTGAAAACCAAAATAATTACTTTTATTAAAAATTGTATCGCGATGACACTCGCACGTTTATATGCATTGAGTTATAAATATTCATACAGAAAAAATGTTAGTTATATCAACTAACATTATTTTATCGTAGTCATAAATTCGTGTGTAACCATTGCCAAATGACGACATTAGAAGATAATTTATCGAATTCGTATTAATGGCGACTACTAGCCAGCCATTTGACCTACTCAATAATAAACGTATTATTCATTATGTGAAACAGGTACCGACTTAAAAATCGGTGCGTTCCAAAAAAACCAAAATCGAATCGTATTACCGAGTCACTATCGTATGACACGGCGTGAGAACTGTCGTCGAAATGACACTAATTAATCACCGGGCAAAGCAGTTGTATTAAATCGATATGATTTGACGACGGTGGCCACAAGTCGGATGACCGCGGCCCGGGAGGTGCAGCTGGTCGGTGCATATTCCGCCGCGGATCATTTGAGCCCACCGGAAACCGATCTACCGTCATCCCTCTTATTTACATTTAAACGAGATCGTCCCCTATTTCCTGTACGGTCACCGCATACGCATCACGCCACAGCCTTATTAGTGTGCGGACACGCGCCACGCATACACAATCGACACACGTCCCGTTGTGTGTAATGTCACTTCTTAATAATGTAATTACATAGAACCCGCGTCGAATTTTCGGTGCGGTCACTCGTGTAAATATGTCCAATACGATTTTCCAAATAATCGGTTTTCACGGTAACCGAAAACTACTACTGTGGTCCGATTTCGTACAAAATCCATAACTCATCGATTTGTCCCGAAAGTTTATGGGTTTGTTCGTTTCTGTTTGACTGGCCTTAGTTCGATTTTTTTTGTGTAATGACCTGTCGGGTTCCGAGAAAATCCCTCCAAAAAGCTTATACGGATGTTTAAACACGACTATTTGATTTCTAAATGGAATTTTTTCTGCGGATAACACAGACAAATATTAGTTTTACTATTCATGACGTAGGGATCAATTAATAGATTGTTTGAGATTAAACATATATTTAAAATATTAATTCAAAACTATAAAATACCTTACTCGACAACCATAGGAATTACTGAAAAATCGCGTAGAGTATGTGTTTTTGCGCCCATCATAATGGTAACATTGTTCCCGAACACACGATCTTTTTACTAATTTTCGTAGCTTTTCAGTTAAATATTAGTATCGACAAGTATTTTTTTTTTGTTTTTTAATTAATATTTTAAATACACGTGTTAGTTTTAAATCATATTAGCCACGAGTAATCAATTTTTATTATACATTAGTTTTTAAAATAAATGTTCAACCATTGAACGTATTTATAAACGCAGATAGCAATTGTTAAAAAAAAAACAAAAGAAAAAATTACTGCCAGTAAAAGACGAATTACGTCTTAGTCAACTGATACGTGCAATCGATTGTAATTTACTTTTTGTAATGTCATATGATCGTATTGCTTATGAAACTTAACAAAACAACCGTTTTACTAGCTGTTTGATTTACGAGACGTAATGACTGTGTAAAACATGGACAAATTACTAACGTGTATCGACCACGTGTGTTCGCTTTACACGAATGGCGACGACGTTAGCGTTACTACCGTTCACTTCTGAGATTTGGTCACGTTTTTACCCTGCCCGTCCCGACCGCTGCATACGAATATATATTGAGCTCTCTCGGTAGACAGCTTCCTGTAAGCGGACCTCGAGACCCGTCACACTCGATCTTCGTCGGTGGCAACGGTTGGGTATTCCCGAAACCAACGTTTACCTTTATAATAGATGTACAACATATTATAGGCGCGCGCGGGTTCGTGTAGTATAGACTTGTCATCGGTATTTTATCGTTTCGGGGGTAGTTTGAAGAAAACGAGACGGAACACCGTTAATAGCTGCCCGATTTATGTGTTAAAACAGCTGTACACGGTTTGTAACCCGATAAATCACTCTAGGAAGCGACGACTCCGGCGAGAGGACGTTCCCTGTACTGTTTGTCACAAATCATATCATAAACGCATACGTACAGCCGATGTGGCCCGGACGATGAAGATGCGAGAAAGACGTGGCGATGAAGAAACAGAAGGGACGGGACGCGATTTCATGTAATTTACGCGGCTACGAAAATAACTGGGCACACGTTTTGGCAAACCCGCTGATACTCGGGACGTGACTTCTAGTCTAACTTGTTTTGGTTGCCCTACGGGTGTTTATCACAATTCAGTCGTTATGCATTTGGCTCTACGACTACGAAATTGAAATTGCGAATAAATGTTACGCTGGCGTCCTATACACATTGTAACGTCACTTCCATTCATTTGGATACGCGTAACTGTTGATTTCAGTTTGCCGTTGACACTAACCAAATTATAATAGCAAAAAATAATAGCGAGCAATAAAAATTGTGTTTAATTAATGTATTTTTTTGTCTGACGCGTGACGTGTTCTTGTTAATGATATCATAACATGCGTTTTATTGGCGCGAGTAAAAGACCTGTCAAATAACTTACTGTTGTAAATGAATATTTTTCGAGGGCAGTATCTACAACGTCTTGCTGAATGGCGAAGGCACAGGTTTTTTATTGGCAAATTATTATTTCAAAAGTGTTATCCGAATAAATTTAATTCATATATATATATATATGTTATTATGATTCTAGTTTGGGCAGAGACAGGAGACTTTAGAGATAACAATCACCATGGTCTTACTACTGACCATTCGTCGCAGCTGAATTTCGGATCATCCAGGAGTAGAAATCGTGATAGGAAAGGTAAATATTAAGTTTTGTTTCTGTGTGATGTTAATTTTTACATGATTATTGTCGGCTTTGATGTTAATGTTTTGATAACAGCCTAGTAAACGTTTTGTGTAATTGATTTAGTAGGTCGACCGGATGCGATAGGTGCCACCGGCATCAAAACAGAAGGCATCGATCAAGGTGTAGGAGTGGTCACTGATGACGTCAAAGACTCCAATATCAAAAACAACAAGAACAACAAAAGACAGAGAAGGCAAAGGACGCACTTTACTTCGCAACAACTTCAAGAATTAGAAGCTACATTTACTAGGAATCGGTATCCTGATATGAGTACCAGGGAAGAGATAGCCATGTGGACGAATCTTACGGAAGCCAGAGTCCGGGTAAGTACATCATTACTATGTGATCCGATTCTATTGCATAATATATGTCTATCTTATACTCTAGTCTTTTAAACATCAACGCAAATGATTATTTTTATTATCCAACTACTGGTTATTGGATTTGCACAGGGCTCAGTGCGTCAACGTTTTTGAATCCCAAACAATCCCCGGGATTGTCCCTTTAGCATCAGTTTGATGCGAGGTAAGGGCAAGCGGCAAATAAAATGACTAACCGATTGGCAAAAAAAAAAAAACACATGCGCGCATAAAGTCGTCCGCACTGATGGGTTAGGGATTGATGTAGGGATAATCCTTTACGGTTTATTTTAATACTGATGTACACTACATGGTTAATTCTGCCGTATCTGAACATTGTCAGGTTTTCATTCGCTACTTTGAATTCTATAGTTTTAACCTCCACGCCCTCCACAAACATTTTGATTGTGTAAATGTTAATCGAATGTCCCCTCTTTTGGCTCCCTATTTTATCCAATTTTCTTACCCATTTCATTTGAACTGTTCTAGTGCTATAACATTATGTATATCTAATCATTCATTATTAGTGTTACAAATTACTATTTAAATCGACTTGTCGATTATATACATACACACACACACATTTATAATATATATACTTTAACTTGTATTTTTCAATACTTTTTTTTTTTATCGACTATTACAATAAAAACTTAAATAAAATATGATGAATGCAACATTTTTATTGGATAGTGAAAATGATGTTTATAGGTTATACACGATTAATACCATTTAAATTACTCAACGACTCATATGAATCGTCTCAAAAGACATATGTCTAAAACATTTTTTTTAAATGTTTGGACAAATGTCCTATTATAACTGAGCTAGGATAACACGTAGGAAATATACGAGGATTATTAACGTAAAAACTAGAAGTTAAAAAATATCGATGACAAAAAAGGTCGCGCAATGTGATAAGCTCATCTAAACACATTCATATGATTACTTAAGCTCTTTGTTTTTGGCAGCATTGTGAAACGCTCAATGTTTTTCATACCCGTGTGCTACAATAGAAATCTAATAAGCGGGTTGACAGACGGTAACTTCTATCCACCATTTTGTTTTCCCTGGATGTCTATGGTGGTTGATGTACTGTATGCCATGGTCTTCGGATGAGGTTTTAACAGAGAGATTATTGTTTTATACGGCCTACGTAATTTAAAACCACATAACCCTATTCGAGTGTTTTTATATAAAAAGTGTAAATATAACTGTTTACAGCAAGTCGCTTAAGTATGACTTTTCAACGGCGTTTAACGCGTCTGACATATCCTACCAACGGTATTGCTGAAATTAAAATTTTATTTACAGAATACTCATTTTAATCACAATGAATAATAAATCTTATTTACTTGAAAAATATCAATATAATAGGCAAAAAAAAAAAAGGATATAATTAACATCGTTAAATAAAGTTTCTGTTGAGAGTAATTTTACGTTTATCGAGCCGTTGATTAAACAATACTCGAAACAGTTTTAAAATTGTTCGGTGAGATATAAGACCTATTTGTGTGTACTGCCAGAGTTATAAAAATACTAGAAAAATACGTGTAATTCTTTTACTTTGTACATGTGTGTTAAACACAAATATTGAATATTTTTCGACCAAATTTTCGAAAAAAACTAAACCTTCAACAATAAACATTGTAATCATTAGGTCGTTTTTAACGCGTAAGTCAACAAACGGCAACTTTTGTAGTCGTACACAATTTTTTGTTATCAGACAAATAAGAGAGCAGATAGGATGACAAATAGTACAAAGAAACATACAGAAATGCTTTTTCTAGTGTCGTGTTTTACAACATGGTAAATACTACAAACCCGACACATAACTACTCGTCGTCGACATGATATTCTCTTGTATATCTATACAAACACACAAGTAATATAACGTAATGTACGGGCACCAACTATGTTACAGTATGTACTTATCTTGTTTATATTGGTGGCAGCGCTGTAATATATTTTACACTTGATAAGCTGTAAAACGTTTTGTGAATTTCAAAGGAAACTGTGAATGGCATAAAAAAATGTTAAGTAAAGCGTATTTATTTTGTATAATCGATCACTCGTACTATATATTTTGTTTATTTTAATAATTGACGGGTAGAGGATTTTTTTTTTTTATACATCTCTTTTGTGTATCGAGTGTAGAATGTCGAAAAAAAAAAACAAGGAAAGTAAAAAGACAATTTTCCAAGTGGTTTAGTAAAAATAAAAAACTAAGAAAAAAATGAATAATACGAAGGACGCGGGGAGAAGTGCAAGATTTATGAGACGGTAAAAACAGACCACCTTTACTCGACGTGATTTATAACCCAACCGCCATTTTATTCGCGTTTTTTTTTTTTATTTGAAAAGCAAAACCGACGCACGTCGTCCTTTCAAATGGAAATTATAAATAAATAATGCAAACGAACCCGTAAAATGTCACAGGAGAATTCGCAAATATAACCCACTGTAAAACTAATATGCCATTCTATGTCACCGGACTACTGTAGTGCTGCGAAGAGTTTAATTTATACTTTCTATCGTCGTTCACTAAGCACATAGAAAAGCCAATGTTTAAAATGAGATTTACTTCAAATTNATGTAATATATTACATACACAGTAATATAAAAAAAATTACAAAAACATGGTTTGAAAACAACAAAAAACTATCACTAAATTACATGATTTTTAATGGATTTTTACTGATTTTCTAATGCTAAATTTTACATGTTAAACTTTTTTCTCAAACTTCAAATTTTTATGGTTTATTAAGCAGATATATAACTAAAAAACTAAAAAAAAAAATTTTTGAAATTAGGCCCCCCAACAGAGATAATGCACCTAGAATACGTGTCTTTTTATAAAATTTCTAACTTTGTAGGCCTCTAAATCCCAAGAAAATTGTTTTAAATATTTGAAATTTAGTTGAAACATAGATTATATACTATACAATACCACATTTGAAAATCACTACAAAATAATAACTTCTTAATGGTTTAGGTGAGCTCAAAAACGCCAATTTTCTCAAAAAAAGCACCATTTTTAGAAAATCATTTAAGTTTGAAATTTCACATAATTTTTTTTTTTTTTTTTAATAACTTTAAGTTATAATAAGGTCAATTCTTTTTTTTTTTTGTATCTTGACTTTTATTGAAAAAATTACTTGAAAATCTCTAATATAAGTTTTTTATATCGTTTTATAGAATATTCTTTGAAAATTCGAAGTCAAAACCTTAAAATGCTGTGCGCCTCGATTTAAATTTTTCCAAATGATTTTAAATTTTCAGAATATAATTTTTTTATACTAAAGAAAAAAATGGAGGGGTGTCCCGAAAGAAATTTCGAAATTCGAAAAATAAGGACCACCCTAATACACACACACATATACTTTAACTTGTATTTTTCAATACTTTTTTTTTTATCGACTATTACAATAAAAACTTGAATAAAATATGACGAATGCAACATTTTTATTGGATTGTGAAAATCATGTTTACAGATTATACACGATTAATACCATTTAAATTACTCAACGACTTATATGAATCGTCTCAAAGGACATATGTCTAAAACATTTTTTTTAAAGTTTAGACAAATGTCCTATTATAACTGATCTAGGATAACACGTAGGAAATATACGAGGATTTTAACTAGAAGTTAAAAAATATTGATGACAAAAAAGGTCGCGCAAAGTGATAAGCTCATCTAAACACATTCATATGATTACTTAAGCTCTTTGTTTTTGATAGCATTGTGAAACGCTCAATGTTTTTCATACCTGTGTACTACAATAGAAATCTAATAAACGGGATGACAGACGGTAACTTCTATCCACCATTTTGTTTCCCCTAGATGTCTATGGTGGTTGATGTACTGTATGCCATGGTCTTCGGATGAGGTTTTAACAGAGAGATTATTGTTTTATACGGCCTACGTAATTTAAAACCACATAACCCGAGTGTTTTTATATAAAAAGTGTAAATATAACTGTTTACAGCAAGTCGTTTAAGTATGGCTTTTCAACGGCGTTTAACGCATCTGACATATCCCACCAACGATATTGCTGAAATTAAAATTTTATTTACAGAATACTGATTTTATTCACAATGAATAATAAATTTTATTTACTTGAAAAATATCACTGTAATAGGCATAAAAAAAGGATATAATTAACATGGTTAAATAAAGTTTCTGTTGAGAGTAATTTTACGTTTATCGAGCAGTTGATTAAACAATACTCGAAACAGTTTTAAAATTGCTCGGTGAGATATAAGACCTATTTGTGTGTACTGCCAGAGTTATAAAAATACTAGAAAAATACGTGTAATTCTTTTACTTTGTACATGTGTGTTAAACACAAATATTGAATATTTTTCGACCAAATTTTCGAAAAAAACTAAACCTTCAACAATAAACATTGTAATCATTAGGTCGTTTTTAACGCGTAAGTCAACAAACGGCAACTTTTGTAGTCGTACACAATTTTTTGTTATCAGACAAATAAGAGAGCAGATAGGATGACAAATAGTACAAAGAAACATACAGAAATGCTTTTTCTAGTGTCGTGTTTTACAACATGGTAAATACTACAAACCCGACACATAACTACTCGTCGTCGACATGATATTCTCTTGTATATCTATACAAACACACAAGTAATATAACGTAATGTACGGGCACCAACTATGTTACAGTATGTACTTATCTTGTTTATATTGGTGGCAGCGCTGTAATATATTTTACACTTGATAAGCTGTAAAACGTTTTGTGAATTTCAAAGGAAACTGTGAATGGCATAAAAAAATGTTAAGTAAAGCGTATTTATTTTGTATAATCGATCACTCGTACTATATATTTTGTTTATTTTAATAATTGACGGGTAGAGGATTTTTTTTTTTTATACATCTCTTTTGTGTATCGAGTGTAGAATGTCGAAAAAAAAAAACAAGGAAAGTAAAAAGACAATTTT